CAAGCAGGCTTCGCAGGGGCTGTTGATGGCTCTGCATCCGCAGCAGCCTGCTTGGGGTGCCCTCATCACATGCCTATGGATAAAACAGCCACTAGTTTTGGGATCTAACAGGATTTTCCCTAAGATCAAACATCAGGGACCACTGTAATTACTTGTTTCATTTCTCCAGTGTCCCCTGTAGCATGGTTCTCTTTCCAGGCATCACACAGGGCTATTACTCAGTCACGTCCCTGAAATCAGGAGTTGTGGCAGTGCTTCCCTTCCCTCCAGCAGCACATGAGTTACAGATTTTGGTCTCTTCTTGAAGGTTATGGTAATTATAGAGTACTAGGAAGTGCTCAGTGGACTGGGGTGACACACAGAACAGATACCAAATTGGGAAGGGTCCCAGAGCATCTATCAAATGTCTGCCCTAGTTCATGACCCACACAATCCTTTCCAGTCCTAAAGGAGCACATCCGTACAGCAACACTGCGACTGGAAACTTGCTATTCTCGTACCAAAAGCCTGGGCCTCCACCCAGAGCTTTCCCAGGCAGGTTCACCATTCCTGCCTTTCCCTTCGTAAGCCACAGGCCAACCAGTCCAGGAGTGGGATAGCCAGGTCTCTGTTCACTCACCTTGGGACACTGCATGTGATCAGCAATCCCAGGCTGGAGCATAAACAGGCACAAACACAGAGGCTCTAAACACAGATTATGCAAAGGGAGAAAAACAAGCCCTCTGACACAATCCCTCCCAATCTTCCGGTTTTAGGCACAGGATATTTTTCCCAAGCCCCTCCTGCAAACTCCATAGCCCGGAGCTGGCTAAGCCCACAGGACTGTGGTAACCAGGCCCCATAACGAACCCACACATATTCCATCAGTAACAGGAAAGGGCTGACCCATCAAAACGTCCTGTGTATCAGTCTGATCAGGGCTGACACAGAACAACATTCTACTAGAAAGTTTGACGAGTCTCTAGCACACGATGACACCAGTTTAACAAGTCAGACCTTGTGATACAGGGCTCCTGCCAGCCAAACGTCACCAGGAAATGGTGCTGAACTGGCACAGGGCTGCTGAAATTCCTGCTAGTCCCCCCAGGTCACTCCCAGGTCTCCCCCAGGCTTCTCTGTCAGCCACCCAGGTGCTGACATGGTGGCAGTGATCCCTGCGCTGCTGTGGGGGACTTCAGCTCTTGCTGGGGAAGGGGACTGAGCTCTGTTACCAAGGAGGCCCCATGCAGAGATGGAACTGCCTCATGCAACTCAGACCACTGCTTCCCTGGGGAACAACACACTGGTTGTCCCACCCTGGCTGGGCAATGCCAGCCTCCTTCAGCTGGCTCACTCTTCTAGGCAGACAGCTCAGACTCAGCCAGCCTTTTTGGTGTTTAAAGCAAAGTGCCTGCTGGAGTAATAGTGAAGAACACATGTGGCTGAACACAGGCTGCAATCTTGGTGCTCTGCAGTCTGGAAACTCTGAGGCAGCATGTTCAAACAGATATTGGTAATGTCATGTACTAACTCAAGACCCAAATGATGCAACCATAGGGCTGCAGTGGCACCCATATTCAGCCCTCACTAGTTGATGAACTAGAGTGATGAACAGCCATCAAAAGCATTCAGCCCTTTACAAATCTGTCTTTTTTTATAAGCTCCTGTTGGAAGGCAGCAATCAGCACCTTGCTTCACGTGGGGACAACAATTAATGCTTCAGCATGAGCTGAAAGAGCTCTTCCCACCCTTGCAGCCACCCCAGTACCAGATGCTCCCACTGCTGCTGGGAGTGAGCTGCTCCAGCACGACTGGCAGAGCTGGAAGGTCCTAGTAGCTAAACTGAAGTGAGGACACAGGAAGGGCTTTAGAGGGTATCCCAACACTTCCCAGCGCATCTCGGTAGTCAGTTCACTGAACTTTCCTCCAGCCCGCAGCCTGGCTGCCTGCCTTGCATGCTGCAGTCCTTGGTAGTCAGGAATCTTTTGCAGGAAGGAGGGAAGAAGCTGTTAGCACAAAGACCATAAGAGGGAAACTAGAACTTTAGCACGGCACTTGAAAATGCATAGGATTAAAGAAAATGCTACAAACAGCCTTAGGAATCCCTCTGAGAAAATGAGGTGGTTGCAGCCATCTCCAACTTTGACACAGGAGGAGAGGGTCTTAATGCCATGTCATCTCCTTCACCCCAAGAAACTGCAGCAAGCTCTGCCCAGGCTGCACAGTGCTTGGATTTTGGGAGACAGTGGAACAAATGCTGCCTCTGAGCAAGCTTTTGTGAAGAGTCTGTCCCAGCTGAGCTGACTCGAAACAGCCACCATGCAGCTGGCAGTGCCTTCACAGAAGCTGCAGCATCCCAGCCTGTCTAGGGTGCTCTATGGCTCCCCAGTTTTGCTCCCAACACAGTCCAGATTTCTTTTCAGAGCCAAAAGCCAGGGGAGCACTCAGGGTTCTACCTATCCTATTTGAGTGGTCAAACTTGCTCAAGCCTCTTTTGCTCACTAAGGAGCAGCACTCAGCCCTTGAGCTTGAGTTCTCACAGATTTGCCTTTAAGGAATACCAGCCAAACACCCCCCAGCTCTCTGGGAAGGCTGGCTGCTTCCAACATCAGCTTCCCCAGGGCACTACGGGACACAGGTTGTGGCAAGCTACAAACAGGATCTCTTCTTTCCAGAGCCTGACCATGCTGGTGCATTGAAAGGGGCAGGGGGAACTGTGGAGCCTTTTTTCCCCCATCTCAGACTCAAAAGCAGCAGTGGGAAGCCCTGGGAAGGCAAATTCCCTCCGTTATCGTTGGGCTGGTGTGCTGCCAAAGGGGTGTGTTGTGACAACAACCCCCAGTTGGTGTCAAGGCAAGTCGGATGGATTTGTCACTTTCCCAGTGGGAAAGGTGCCTGCTTCACCTTCCTGCTAGCACTTTGTTTTCACCTAGAGCCAGCACACTGGCACAGTAGCCCCTAGGCAGGATTTTAACTACAGGCAAGCCCTTAGCTAAGCACATCAGGCCCACCAGTGCTCTCCCAGAGTGTGCTGCGGCACCTGGCATCACCCAACACAGGACACTGTCACCAGGCAGGTGGAGGACAGCCCCCCTCTGCAGCCCTGCCTTGCATCTGCATCACACATGAATTTGAGAGCCTGCAGGCACAAGCCCCAGGTCCTTTTTCTCCTGTTGCTTCTCCACGTGCAAGGTTTTTCTTTTTTCCACCAGCATATTTCTTGCAGTCTTTCCCCACCAACTTGGTAATGATCTGCTGGGTGCCCTTCAACGGGCAGTACTGCACAGAGGTTTTTAGAAGTCAGCGATCACTGGGGGGGGGGGAAGATCATCAAAGCTGAGAGACAGGAAAAGCCAGTTAGTAACATCTCCCTTGCTAGAAAGAGCCATTTCCCTATTATTTTTTACTAAGGCAGCCTGCTGCTATTAAGCATTTTCCCTTTGAAGATGAGAACCACTGTAGCATATTGTACTGTAATCACTGCTTTTACCTTGTGGGCCTGAGACACCGTGTTCAGAGACATAGCAGTTCAGCAGTGCCAGACACGATGTTATTGGGACAATTACAGAGAGGCAGACCCACGCATCAGAGAACAGACAAATCCAGCGTGTTTGAGTCACCAGGAGCTGTGCTGCAGGAACAATCCAGCTTCAGTTCTCACTGGAGGAGATTGCATTCTCTCTCACCATCCCTCCCCTCTTACAGCTGGATTTTTCCCCCTTGCAGCAGCAACAGCAGTCCAAGAATCAATAGGGTACTCAGAGGCACATGCTTAAAACATTGGGCTGAAATACAGCAGTTGGATTATGCCATCCCTCAAGAGGAAAAAAGGGGTCCCCACCTCTAAACACGAAACAAAGCAGAGATGTAAGGCTCATCCTCCTCCCATGCCGGCCCACATTCAGTTTCCTTAGCAAGAAATATTTCAAAGGTATAGCTACTTCCAAATCTATTCATGCTCTCCAAAATGCCTCTTAAAAACGCAGGTGGAACGTGCTGCCCTGCATACAAAGGCTGATGATTTGTGGAGCTGGTTTTACTGCTCTTAAATAAGGAAAAAAAAAGTAATTTTCTTTTCATATTAGGAGAGAAAGCGACCTAGCTCAGGTTAAACGAATAAAATAAACCCACAGTGTGAAATAACTCAAATAAAAATGCTAAAGAGCCATAAGGCTGCCCCGCGCTGCAATTTGTGTGTAGCAGCCTCCTGGGAAGACCCGCATTGCCCCGGCGGGGCGGCTGCTCCGGCCCCACAGCCCTCGCCCCACTTGGCTCCCACCTGCCGCTGCCAAAGGCCAGCCCCTCCCGGCACAGCAGCCAGGAGGTCGTTCTGCCGCTGTGAATCAGCATTTGCTGCAAAATCCCCCCTCCTGCTACCCCCAAAGTTGGGCAGAGAAGGGCACCCCCATGGCACGACCGACACCGTTGCGAACAAAAAAAAAAAAAAAAAAAATAAAATAAGTGCCTCGTCCCTGTGGGGCGGGCAGCTCCCGGGGATGGTGCAGGTGAAGGGGAACGGGGCAAACGCCGACTACAGCCACAGACGAGAGGATTCTGCAGGGGGATGCCACCTTCCCCCCCCGCTTAGCCGGGGCCACCCTCGCACCGCACGGCCCCCAGCCCCCTCCCTGCCTAGACCCCCCTCCTTCCCCGGTGAGGCGGAAGGGCGGAAGATCCTTGCCGGGAAGAAGGGGTAAATCCCGTACCCACCATCCACGTGTCCGCGGGGCTCCGGCCGCCGCCTGGGCAGAGAGGCCTCGGCGGCCGCACTCCCTCCGCAGGCTCGCCCTTCCCTGGGCAGCCAGCGAGCCCAAGCGGCTCCATTCACACCCGCATGCCCATCCCCAGCGCCGGCACCGCATCCCCGGCCGGTGCGGCGGGGCCGCGGCGAGAGCACGCGGCGGGGCGGCCGCTCGGACCCGCCGCGCTGCCATGTGGCCGCCGCGCCCGGCGCGGGGAGGCTGCACCGCACCGCGGGGCTCCCCCGGCCCCCCAGGGGCTGCCCCGCCGAGCCCCCGCACCTTGCCGCTGGCCGTGCCGCCGCTGACCCCGATGAGGAAGGGCTCGCCACCGCTGGGTTGCCCCTGCTCCTCCAGCCGCTGCTCGCTGTCCCCCGCCATCCTCCTCCCCTGCTCACAGCCGCGCCGCCGCACCTCCTCCGCCTTCGCTCGCCGTGCGGGGCTGGATTTATCTGATGAGTCAAGGGCCTTCCTCCCCGCCTGGTTCACATCCCCGGCGCTGCGGCTCCCTGCCAGGTGCCTGCCGCAGCTGCACATGCTCGGGCCCAGCCCGCCGGCGGGCGGCACTGCGACCGCACGGGCCCGCGCCGCGCCCTCCGGGCCCGCGCCGCGCCCTCCCCGCCCGCGGACAAAGGCGGTGCGGTCGCACTGTGCGCCGGGCCCCGCTCGGTCTCCCCACCGGCTCCTTTTGCCTGTCTGACCGCTCGTCATCATCCCAGCGAGCGCTGGAAACCCCCACTGTGTGTCCCTCACGCTGGCCGAAAAGGACGAGGGCATCCTGGTGTCAGCAATGGTGCGGCCAGCGGGACCAAGGCACTGATCGTCCCCCTGTTCCGGGCACTGCTGAGGCACCTCGAATACTGGGGTCAGTTTTGGGGCCCCTCACGACAAGAAAGACATTGAGGTGCTGGAACGAGTCGAAAGAAGGGGAGCGGAGCTGGGGAAGGGTCTGGAGCACAAGTCTAATGAGCAGTTGGGGGGGATCAGCCTGGAGAAAAGGAGGCTCAGAGGGACCTTATAGCTCTCTGCAACTCCCTGAAAGGAGATTGTGGCCAGGTGGGGGTTGGCCTTTTCCCCCAGGTAACAAGTGATACGAACAAGAGGAAATAGCCTCAAATTATTCCTGGGGGTTTTCAAATCAGATATTTGGAAAAATTTCTTCACCCGAAGTGTGGCAGGCATTGGAACAGACTGCCCAGGGAAATCGTGGAATCACCATCCCTGGAAGCATTCAAGAAAGGTGTAGATATGTCACTTGGGGACACTATTTAGTGGCAAGCACAGTAGTGCTGGGTAAACGGTTGGACTGGATCTTAGAGGTGTTTCCCAAACTTAATGATTTTGTGATTTTCCCACCCCACCTGGGCCCTGGTCCTGTGAGCACTTAAAAGTGCTTAATAACAACCCAAAAGCAGGAATAAAAATTATGCTTATGTCTTTGGCAAATGGACCCGTGTGGGAAGAGTCATGACTGCTCTGGAGGCCACAGTTCAGTCAAAATGCTCTCGACAAAATGGAAAAGACTCTGCAAAATGTAGGGTGCAATTCCATGCAGACAAGTGCAAAGTACTCTACTTAGGTAGGGATAATGATCCGTGAAATGCAAGATGGGAACCTACTGGCTAGCCAGGCCTTTTATAGATAAAGTTCCTAAGTACAATGGATCAAAGAGTCGATTCGTGGTGCTGCAGTGAAAAAGGCAGACGTCCCACTGGGGCATATAAACCTTGGCAGGTACTCTGTTTTGAGAAAGGTGAGGCCTGATGGAGAGACTGCAGTGGGGTCCCGGCATGAGCCTGGGGCCTGGTTTTGCAGGACTGCAGGAACCATCCGTGTTTAGTTTGGGGAAGGTCCCTGCAGGGCTGTAAGGCTGCGGGGATATGATAACCATTTCCAAATACTTAAAAGGCTTCCACAAACAGGAAGGGAATACCTTTATCTCACCTATGGGGAATTAGAACAAAATGTTGCCAGCTCAACACTGTAAGAAAGGCAATTCAGGATAGTCATTCAGGTACATTTTCTAAGTGTGAGAATGGTTAAGTCCTAGAACATGTTGTTTAGGGAGAGCAAGGACTCTAATCCACAGAGTATTTAGAAAAAAAAAAAAAAAAAGCATTAGGCAAGCTCCTGTGTGGAAAATGTTTAAAGGAGCTGATCCTGCATCAAGGCAGGAGATGGCCCAAGCAATGCCCCAAGGCTCCTAGCAGCCCTGTTCATAGGATTAGAACTTTCATTTATGTTTTTAACTCTCCACTTCAACAGAGAGAAACAGGTGTGGAAATGTTTGCCAGAGAGGTCCCACACCCCAGCCCTCATCACACAGGATGTGAGACAGGATCTCCTAGGATGCTGTGCCACCTCTCTGCCCACCATTTCTAATTCCTCTGCAACAGTGCCCCACAAGACTGTGGTTTGTGCCATGGGAGCATGGCACTGCATGTGGCTTCTACCAGGAGAGGAAGTGCTACATGTGCACAAGAACTTCCTGCAGGGATGAATTCCAGTGGATTCCCATGGCCCTGTGCCAGTTTCCAAGCCCTGAACATGGGCACAGCTCCTGTGCATACCACCAGGCCCTGGGAGCTATTCACAGCTCTTCTTCTTACCCCTGCACTGACATAGCTGTATCTGAAAGACAAAACCCCCTCAGTACAGTGAGACCTTCAGGTTCTTTGGTCCTCCTCGTGCCTACAGTCACTGCTGCCCTGTTGTGCTGCAGCTGTTTCAGGCTGTGCTGTCCATCCTGAGAATCTCTGTAGGATGCCCATTGTGGCATTTCACCTCCAGGTCCCCTTATTGCTTGACATGTGGCAGGAACAGACATACCTGCAGGGGTACTCCTGCAGGGAAGGATATTCCTTGATGGGAAGGATACCCCTTGATGGGCCCTGAAGGAGTAAGACCTAAGTATATCCAAGACTTATTTAGAACACAAGAAGAACTTGCAATGGCTGGAAGTGAAGTCCAAGTCCCAGCTAGTTTTAGATGGCACCTTTCCTCAAAACTGAGAATTTTACACACTTTTCCTATCTGCTGGTCACAAACACACTGTGCAAAGCAATTGAATCTTTTGTTCAGTTCAAGTCTGGAGACTTCAGTATATGAAATCTATTGGGACGTGTGCCTCTCTAATCTGGTTTCAAGGTTACCTCCATAAATATTACCTCTGCTGTATCTAGAATGTTTATAGACTGTGCTGGCCCTTAACTCACACATCCAGAATTGTGTATTATGCCAATAGTTTTCTTTTTCTCATATCCCAGGGTGTTACATCGAATCTAACTGCACCCAACTCTCATCTGTCCTTTACAAGTTGATCAAAGCACATAATGCTGTTTTAAAAAGGAAATGCCATTGAGAGTAATATGCTGTCTGTTGTCTGAAAAAACCCTACTGATAAGGATCCTGGTGTGATTCAAAATGACAGGATGAAATTACAAAGAGACTGTGTCACCTCTACCTCCAGTTCAGAGCACTGACACTAGAGAGGAAAGAGGTTCATGTCACTGACTGTCTCCTCCTGGCCCAGCTCTGCCAAAACACCAAAACACCAGTATCAATAACTGATACTCTGTGAATCATTTCCCACAGCAGTATAAGAGAGAGTATTTCAAAACACTACCTTGATTGATGTTGATACCACAGCCAGGAAAGCCAGGGAGCTCTGAAGAGAGAGAGAAAGGGTGGAGGATGGCATACAGCACAGGGAAGTGCATGAGGTGGCACACAGGAGGGCACGAAATAATAGAGAATCACTGAATGGCCTGTGTTGAAAGCAACCTTGAAACTCATCTTGTTCCAGCCCCTGCAATGGGCAGGGATACTTTCCACTGGACCAGGTTGCTCCAAGCCCCATCCAACCTGGCCTTGAACACTTCCAGGGATGGGGCAGCCACAACTTCTTTGGGCAGCATGTTCCAGTGCCTCACCACCCTCACAGTAAAGAATTTCTTCTGTATATCACAAGTCCTGCAATATCATCAGCTGTCAGTATCTTCCCACTGCTCACCCTAAACCGAAATATCCATCCTTAATTTCATCCCTGTCTCCCTGATGGCTCTGAATCCCACTGAACTTGCATCGCTGACGTTCAGTTCTCAGTTCTCCCCTGATGTTGCAGAAAGCTCCCCGTGCCCGGAGACAGCACCAGGACTTTCCTTGGGTGCTTATCTGCAACTTTCAGTGACTGACTCACTGGCAGCCACCTGCACACACGCGGCTCTCGTGTTTCCTCATGTGCATGTCACCAGGCTCCCGGAGGGGTTGTTTGCTGTCTAACCTCACGCTCTCACTCATTGCTTGCACTGTCTCCTCTGAACGACAGTTTCTCACCCTCTTTCTGAATGGAGTGCTTAATTTAAGGGTGATAGGCTTTTTACCTTCCCTGTTTTTCACTCAGCTCTGCCTATGTAATCCCACAGCGCATCACTGTCACTGATAGCAAACTCCTCCGTTATGTAAGGACAGGCACAAACCTGCCCTTCCCTGCCTGCCCTGTTTCCTTTTCTGTATTTCTGCTTTCTAGGTCTCCTCACCCCATTAGAACCTGTGGATTTGGTCTAGTTCTGCTGCTCTAGGTGTAACCGCTGGAGCCTCAATAAGTCAGTTAAGTCTCTCTGCCAAATCCTTGCCATTATTACACTGTCCTTATTAACGTTCTTCTTAGTCTCATCCCATCCATGAATATTTTACACATGCAGAGCAATGGGAGATTTAATTCCCTGCTTCCAGCCCTGTGAATTGGGAAATGCTGTATTCTACTGCTGGCTCTACAGGGACAGCAACAGCCCCTGGTAAAGGGCAAATAACAATATTCCTGAATATTTGATCACAAAAAATGCCTCCTGGTGGGCTGCACTAACAGGATATTCATAGAAACATAGAATGGTTTGGCTTGGAAGAGACATTAAAGATCATCTCGTTCCATGGGCAGGGATGCTTTCCAGATTGCTGCAAAGCCCATCCAACCTGGCCGTGAACACTTCCATTCATGCCACTGGCAAATTCACCCAGGGCAGAGTTTTAGAAACCAAGGCTGTTCGAAGCCAAACTCTTTGCAAGGGGTATGTTGAACAAAAGCAAACGCTTTGTGCATCTTCCCCTCCGAGCGGCTCCAGGCACCACATCCCGGCAAGGCGCAGGGAGGGCGGTGCTGGCTGCACACACACGGACTTTATAGTCTCAAACTGCAGCTGGGAGGTTCAGGTTGGACATTAGGAAGGATTTCTTCACAGAAAGGGCGATTAGACGTTGGGACGGGCTGCCCAGGGAGGCGGCGGAATCACCGCCCCGCGAGGCGCTTAAGGAAAGACTGGACACGGGTCTAGTTGCCAAAGTGATGTTGGGTCACGGGCTGGGCTCGATGAGCTCGGAGGTCTTTTCCAACAAAACTGGTTCCGTGTTTCTATGACCCCCACCTCGGGCACCAGCACGCCCCGTGTGCGAGACTCGGAGAGTGCTGGGGCAGCAGCACACCCAGACCCCCGCAGCCATCACAGAGGCTCCCTCACCTCGCCGTGATT